GGGGGGGGGGGGGGGGTGTACTCATAGTCGTGCATGCCGTAGTCGTTTGACCATTGACCTCGCATCCCTACAAAGCCGGGACGGAGCACGCCGGGTTCTCACCGGACCAGGCTCTCACATCACCAAGCGCGAAGCGCCGTGAGGTATTTGGCGAGTCGCATGAAGGGTGAGCTGCATCCTGCTAAGGGTGTTCGGCATCTTGTGCTTACTTCCTTGCGTACGGATGACAGCTACGTATGACTTAATTTATTTTCTGGTGCTTTCACTTCCAGAGACAGTTGTAAGCACTGTGTAACTGCCTCGAGGAAGCTTGACCATTTTAACACAACGTGGTGCGATCATCCCCCGTTGCGGGGAGAGAGGTTTCTCGACCCCGCACAACATGATCTACTCGACCATCATCATGGTTACCGCCAAAAAAAAAACGAGGTAAAAAAAAAAAACGTTAACCTGGTTGCCGAGTTCACGAAGTGAATTGGCTTGTTTTACAACGTCGTTGCCAAGCGACGAAAACCCAATCCCGATGGCAAACACCGAGTGGGGGGCTTGTTTCACAACGTCGTTGCCAAGCGACGAAAACCCAAACCCCGATGGCAAACACCGGGGGCGGCGGCTTGTTTTACAACGTCGTTGCCAAGCGACGAAAACCCAACCCCGATGGCAAACACCGAGGGGGAGGCAGGGGGAGGGGGGGGGGGGCTTGTGGAGGGAAAACTAGGCGAAGGGGGTTCCCATTTTCGGTGTGTTAAACCGTGGGGGGGGGTTGTTGTCGAAAATCCCAAGAAAAGTCTGTAACATAGGGAGTGCATTGAAGATGTGCATACTGTGCATACTTTTGAGCGTTGAAAGTGGTGCTCCACGTTTGAGTTTTTGCGCACTGGTGTTGTGTACAATTGTGTATGGTTTCGTTTTTTTTTATTTTCTTCTGTGAGGAAACTCTCTCTCTCGCTTGTTCCGCAATTTTGGTGATGTAAAACCTTTCCGTCTTGTAACTCTGCTGTATCTTTTTTATCGGAACGTGTGGGCACGGTACTTTGTTTTTTCAATTCGTCCTTGTATCGCTCGGGGGGGGGGGGGTTGCAAGCAGGACATTGCAGCCCGTGTGTGGTGGTTGTGTGAAAGTATGTCGGAGGAACCGCTAAGGAAGCAGTAAATAAATATGAAATTCCATGCACGTGTGCAATCTCCTGGCATTTTCGAGGGTTTTTGGCCCGAGCACACTGCCGCCAGTCCGCCCCTCATGTTGAGTGGCTCGCGGTTTGGAGTGTTTCCAGTTTCCAGCAAGTATTCCGTGGAACAGCTGTGTGGTGCCCTCGATATTTTTGTTGTCGCGTGGAAGAACCAGACCGACGGAGAGAGACTACACGAGCTGCATTTTTGTCCCCAAGTCGAGGTTGTCGTAGAGTGGAAGGGGACGGCCGTCCAAACAAACATGTCCCCGAGGAAATATCGTGCATGACCGATGGGAAACCCTTTGCCGCACAGGGAGTCACTTTTTTTCGAAGTGCATGTATGTGTTGTTGACTGCTGGGTTGTAGGCGTTGCGTTTCTCTGTCGTTCCCGTTTCACCTCTTTGCTACGTATTGTACGGTGGATCAAGCGAACATATCGACATGGTTATTCTTGCAGTGTATGAGATTAGCCACAAAAGCACCGCAATTGTGTGGCCTTGTTGTTGAGTGCAATCAATAGTTGAGGGAGCGGCGGCTTCAGTGAAAAGACAAACTCACACGGTTGTACGTTGTTTTCTTACTTGTAAGTAAGCGCAGTTTAGATTGGTCTTCGGCATAACGCCTCACCCGGTAATATTCTCTTCAAGAAACCTAAACAGCAAGGCGTTGCCCGTGGCTTCCCGCTACAAAGACTGGCATATTTGCGTTAGTCACTCGGTTAACTTAAAAAACGCACACATCCGCACAAAGGGCTTCCTAGGTTCGGGCGAGGGCATGTGGGGAGCTCTGACTACTGCCATGTGTGTCGGATTTGCCGAGAGATTCCTTTTGGCATTCGCATTCAGCGCATTGCGCATTCTTCGAATGCTGGCCCCCTCTTCAGGGACCTTGATTTTACCCACAGGCACTGACGTCTTGTCATTGGTTACCCGGTTAGCGCCGTCGATGCAAATCCCGAAAGACACACAAACACAACCAAGCAAGGCTTTTTCCAGGTTGCTCGCCGTGGCAAATCCAGACAGGAGCGCCCCAAACTAAAGCCTTTTTATTGCACCGCTCCTTCCGTCTTTCAGTCCACCCAGGGCGCTCTCCCCGTCTCAACGCTCCCTACGGCCGCGTCTCCATCACCACCGTGCTGCACTTCGCCCTCCTTCCCGCCCTCGCTTGTCACCGCCGCCGTAGCCGACCCTTTCGCCACAATGCCGCCACCAACGCGGCGGCGACGCCCGCCACCCCCGCCGCCGCCGCCGCCGCCGCCGGCTCGACGGGTCACGGGAACTCGCAGCAACTCCTCCTCCCGCTCCGCGAAGCCGCGCACCCCCCGGGCACTACCACCAGCGTCATCCAACTCCAACCCTCCTTCCGGACCCCCCCCGTCGGGGACCCCGACAGTTCCGCAACCGAAACAAGCCTCTTGGAACTCCCACCAGAGGCGTGACACCTTCTTCTCGGCCTTGTGGGCTGTGTTTGTCGCTCCGGCCGCCGCGCCTTCCAGCTGAGACGGAACAACGACGAGCGATGATCATGATTATATAGGCCGGGGGGGGGGGGCGGGTTGCTGCATACACACTGTCAGAGAGAGGTAGGCCGGGGGGCGTACTCGCTGCCGTGAATGCCCTAGTCGTTAGACCAATGCTCTCGCAGGCCGGGGGAGGCTCCGAAAGGCCGTGTTGTTGTAGCGGTATCCGCGAAACTCGTGCGCGTAGTACGTACGTATCTTGCCATTCCACCTTGCTTAAGGTTACAGCAGCTGTATACTGTGGTCTAAGTCCACCAACACTAATTGGCCGTTCGGCGCCAACTCCAGCTCTCCCAAAAACAAGTGCGGCATCAATTTGGCCGCAACAAACGCCGCGGCCTACATCCCCTGTGTGCAGCGTCGTCTGCTCACAATACTACATACAAGAGCCAGTACATTTCCTAGATAAATCCACCGCCGTAATACCTCGGGCTGGAGAAGAGCCAATGTCTGCAGCAGCGCCGCAGCCAGCGGGCCCGCGGCTCCCCGGGATATGGGAGCCGATTCCGGAGAGGCGAGAAGGTTCTTGGAGGCTGTCAGGACCGCCGACAGGACCCTCGACATCGAAGAGGCTTGGCGGACGTAAGCATCCCAGGCGGCACGCAGGCCCTGTTGTGTGTTTCACGTTTCGAGTTGTCGGGGCGGGGAGTGGCGAGTACGAGGGGGGGGGGGCGTACTCCTCGTGTTTTGCTTGCCTTTAATTGTTTGACCATTGGCCACGCTTCCTCAAGAGGGGGGGGGGGGGGGCAAACCTTTTGTTTTTGCAACCTTAACGGGTAAAACCTTTACCCCCCCCCCCCAAGGGGGGGGGAAATTTTTTCCCCAGGAACAAAAATTTCTTTCTACTTT